TTGTAAGTGACTTTTCTTTTGCCTGACTCCTAAAGGATTCTTTCTTTTTTTTAAGTAGAATAGTTTTACTAGAGTCTATCATTTTCTTAACCGTTCCTAATCCATTTGCTTTTTCAGTGTTTAAAAATTACATCAGTAAACATGTTGTGTTCCATTATTTCAGTTTTCTTATTTGGGAACTTCATTATGCATATGTTGGATGTTCCTCATGGTCTTTTGTATTTATCTTTTTCTCTGGTGATTCTTTTTAATTCTTTCTTAAATTTTCACACAATTTGTTTGAATTTTCTCATTTCTGTCCTGTATGTATTTTGAACCCCTTTCAGTTTCACCTCCTTTTCTGTGATGGTTTTGTTTTATTTTTTCCTTCCACTTCTTTTCTGAGCTTCTCTTATATTTTTTATCTCTTTCTTTTGCCTCACCATCTTATCCCTGAACTCTCGTAGCTCTGTCTTGTGTTCATCCCTCATAGAAGCAATTGCATCATGACGTTGAAAAATTCACGGTGAAATGCATGTTCACGGTTTCCATCTGCTTGATGGTGCTGTGTTTTTCTGGTGGGTAGTCATTTATTTGTTCAGTAAACATCGAGTGCCTGCTCTTGCTGTCACTCTACCCTCGTGGAGTTTACATTCCAGGAGTACAGATGATAAGTAAAATAGAGAAGCACTTACGGAGTATTTTAGAAGGCGACACGTGCTGCAGAGCACAGTTAGGGAGGGGGGATGAGTGAGTGTTGAAAAGCGGGTAGTGCAGTTTTAATAGGAGTGGTCAGGGGAGTCCTCATGAGGATGCTGTCATTTGAGCACCAACTTGATGGAGAAGAGGGAGCGAGTGTGAGAGAAAAAATTATCCATGGTCCTTGTTGAAGATGGTAAAGCAGACTTTATTCAGGGGGGAGCTGTTGCGATGGATGTAGGGACCACTGCAGTGGGGTCTTGCAGTGGCGAAAAGAGGCTCCACTCTGAGTGCAGTGTGGGCAAGTGGTAATTATCGCCAGGGAGCAGAGTCGGGGGGGGTGTCACTGGATGGAAAATTACTGAGAAGAAACATCAGGAGGGTAAAGGAATAAACCAGCTCACAGGGTTCTTGCTGAAGGCAGGCCAGGTTCATCAGACACCCCCCGGGGCCAGGAGAGGTGGAGAACGAGGAACCTGGTCAGGTGTTGAGGGTGATGGATATGGAGGGTAGTTCAACTGACTTAGCAGAATTCTTGCTACAATCAGACGATGCAGAGAGGAACACGGAAATCAAAAGCCGAGGCCTAGTTGAAAAAGAGCTCGAGAGAGGCTGAGTAGGGCTTCCCTGGTGGCGCAGTGGTTGGGAGTCCGCCTGCCGATGCAAGGGACGCGGGTTCGTGCCCCGGTCCGGGAAGATCCCACATGCCGCGGAGTGGCTGGGCCCGTGAGCCATGGCCGCCGAGCCTGCGCGTCCGGAGCCTGTGCTCCACAACGGGAGAGGCCACAACAGTGAGAGGCCCGCGTACCGCAAAAAAAAAAAAAAAAAAAAAAAAAAGGCTGAGTAGAGTTTGGTCAAGGAGAGAGTTTTCGTCACGAGCCACGTGGGTTCTAGAAGAAGAGCATCCAGGTGGGGGAGGAGTGTGTGCACACGTCCTGAGGCTGGATGCGGGGGCCAGGACGGTGGAGAGGAGTGGCTGAGGGGGAGCGTTTAGAGATGAGGTCACACAGGTGGGGCTGGATCCCCCATCTGTAGGGCCGTGGAAATGACTGGCCTTTTTACCCTGTGGAGTTCCTTTACGTAGAAGAGCCACGTGGTCTGTGCTTTGTGTGTCCAAGCACCTCTGCTGGTTCTGTCAGTGTCTCCTCCTTGCAGGAGATGATTTATTCCTGGACCGCGCGGGCTGAGGTTTGACGTGAGTCTCTCTAACCTTTACCCCCGGCCCCCGTATGTGAGAAGCAGCTGGGGGGCGGGTCACAGCTCCTGCTTCCCGCGTGGGGCGTCGGGAGGCTCCCTCCCAGGTGCCCCTCACCTTCCAGAAGCGGCTTCCTGCAGCCGCGGGCCTCACTTCGCCTTTTGACTGCGCGGCCCCTGCTCGTCTTCACCTATTTCACGGCACTTAGCCGTCTCCTTGCTTCACCGAGAAGGGCGTTTGTGGTTTTGTGTCTTGTTCTTCTGGGTGATTTCCAGGAGGCCGGGCGGGGGCGTTGCTGACTCGACGCTGCCCTCCTGCAGCCCAGAGCCCTAATTACGGGTTTGGCATTAGATTCCGGAGAACAAAGAAGAAAAGAGTTGTGGAGTTCGCTAGCGGCCTCTTCCGTTTAGAGAATACAAAGTTACAAGCCGCAGCCTCTCAGCCCCCTCGGGAAGCCTCGGCGGTGGCTTCTGCGGAGAAAGCCGGCGGCCGGTCAGCGGGGGAGACCCGGAGACTTCGGGCGCCCCCGCTTCTGGTTTGGCTCTGGTGCCGGAGTTCCAGGCCTTCCTCTGGACTCGGCTCCTCCGGGCAGAGCCTGGAGCCCCCCTGCTGCGGGCTGGCCGCGGGGCGCGCGCGGGACGCACCCCCCCCAGGGCCCGGCTTCTGCCGATGCTGGTGGGAGTGTGGCGGCTGCGGGTCCCCTCTGAGGGCCACACGGGCGGGCCAGAGCGCTGGGATCTGTCTCCTCGTGTCGGCTACACGCACACGAGTGCGGAGCCTGCGTCTTTCTCTGTTTCTTAACCTTTCTCAGGGCAAGGGCCTCCTTGCTGATGTGACAAAAGCCATGGCTCTTCTCCCCCCGAAAATCAGCACACGCTGTACATTGTTTCCGGGGTTCATTGTCATCCTTACGTCCAGGAGGGGCTCCTCTTTGAAATCATGGCCCTCAGTGAGGGACCCCACTTACCACGTCACGGTACCAGCGAGGTACCCTCGCTGTCCACGGCCCTGATCTTTTCTCCCTGTTGACCCTTCTAGGTGGAAGTCTGAGCGGGAAGTTCTTGGTGAGGTCTTGGGTTCTCGTTAATTTCAGTTATACAAGTTATTCTCTCCTCTCTCACCAGGATTAACCAAGAATTGTCTGGTATACCTAAAACAAATACAGTGTTGTATGTCGATTATACCTCAATTTAAAAAAACAAAAAGAAGTGTCAGTCGTCTTCTTACCATGGGTCTTAACTCTTTCTTGAAATATCTGTTTTAAAATTCTTGGCTCCGTGGGCTGTACTTGGACTAATTCTTTATCTTTCTTATGTTGGTAGGAATTGAATGGACCTGTGTATTGTTAGAATGCCTAATTTACCTGCAAATATTATATTAATTTTTTATTGTCTCTATTATATTTCTTAATTGAAATCAAGGAATGACAAAAGAATCATAAAATATTTACTCTGCTAATTTCCAGGGTACTTCACTGCTTTTTCCTTCTTATGCCATAGGGATTAAAGGAAGGAAACAGTTCTATTGATGTCGTGATTATAATATGGTATTCAGTGGTCAACCCAGATCCTGTTCCCATGAGATTTACTGAATACATTACAATTAAATAGAAGCAAAACCAAGTACTATTGTGTTGTTTAATTGATAAAGTTCATGAATTGTTTTCTCTGATTTTAATTCTGGGACATACTAGTAAAGCATATTTCTTAAAATATACTAGTGGATTTAAATTCTTAAAAATCAGATTTTTAAATTTCATTTAGGTTGTACAAAAATTAATAGAATTAATTTTAATTAAATTTAAAAGTAAAATTAGTATTTCAGAAGGGGTTTCATTTAAATTCTCTTACGAGCTTCTTATGTTAAGAACAAAATGAGTTCTACCCCTTGAATTCTGCTTAAAAGGGAGCTGAGAGTGTTTGTTTAATTTAGACTTTAGCGCTTTGGGATGGGGAATGGGAAACAAAGCCAAAATACTTAGCATATTTAAGGGACATAGAATAGTCCCTGCTCCCAAAATTTCACATAATTTAAGAACTTGGTGAAAGTTTTTTCACCAGATGACTAGAGAAAATAAAAGGTAAACAGATTTAAATGCCAGGAGGACAGATTTTTTTAATGCTTTGATCTGTGGGACCATTTTTTTTTTACATCTTTTTTGGGGTATAATTGCTTTGTGGGGCCATTTTTAATTTTTGTTGTTTTTCTTTTTTTCGTCTTTTTGTCAACAGTTCTGCCATCACATTACCATTTGAGAACAGTCACAAACCGTTTCTCGAGGTCATTTCAGAAACACGTTGTTTTGTGATTGTTGTGGATTTCCTTTGGTTGGTGCTAGTTAATCTTCTCAACTTCCTGTTCCACGCAAACCCCAGTCGCAACTTGAGACCGTCAAGCCCACGGTGACAGGAAGGAATGTAGTTAATGTCCATATTCTGTGACTCAGTGATTATCTCCAGAGAAGTGAATGGATGTGAATGGATGCTCTGTTGTGAAGTCTTTCTTAAATGATTCATGAACCAGGGAAATCTGGGCTCGACTGTCCACCAGCAGGAAGCAGGCACAGAGGGGCTGGGGGCTTAGTGAAGGGCCGTGTGGCCGTCGGGTGGTATATCCACGACCTCCAGGCCCCCCACGAGGCTCTCTGGGCAGAGGACACCCGGCCAGCAGCCGTGCTCAATTATTCATGCGTTTGACAGTGTGTAATCATCTCAGTCAGCATAATTGAGAAAGAACCTAAAGAAAAGGCTCTTATTGTGTCATATTCCTTCTGAGGAGATCGCCATACACGCTCCTGTGTAACGGTCTGTGAATCTGCCTTTCCCCCAGGCCCTTCTCTTTGCCCTTTTGAAATCAGACATTTGTTTGGATTCTCCAGCAGGAACGAAGGTGTGTCCGAAAGGCGGTGATGGGATGAGATTCCTCGCCCCCCGCCCCCCGTTCCCCCGGGACCCCCCAGGGCCGGCCCTTCCTCATCCCGGTATCCAGGCATCTGGTCTGTGATAAGCACTCAATGAGTGTCTGCATCTTTGAACAAATTGATGGTTACGGAGGCTGACTTTGCTAGTAGACCAGGTGGATGAAAGAGCCGTGCTAACGTGTTGGGTGGCTGTCTCCCCTCCCCCAGGAAATGCTCTCCGGGGTGGTGGTCGTATCTGGGAAGGATTCGGTCCAGCACCAGGGAGTCTCCTTGACAGTGGAAGGAACCGTGAACCTCCAACTCAGTGCCAAGAGTGTGGGTGTGTTCGAAGCATTCTATAATTCTGTTAAGGTAAGAATGCTAGCGTTGCACGTTTTTAGTTCGTTTTTCAAACGTCTGTGGTGGTTTTTACTTGCTGTCTGGCTTGTTATTTGTCGCTATTTTGCAAGGAATGGTGGTAGTCATGCTTTTACTATTTACTAATCAAACTGAAAAAACATTCAGATGTTTTGATTTTGAATATATTCTGTTATTGAAAGTCTGCTTGTTTTTATTCCCATTAGATAGGATTGGTGGGGGGGACTAATTTCAGCCATTAAGGAGACGAGAGCTCTCTGAGAAGTTGTGCCTGGGCCTTCTGGCACTTACGTTCCTGAAACAAAACTGTTCTTTTAACTGTTATTTTAATCCAGCTGCTGTTGGATATGCCATTCAGGTAAGATGCAGGTAGAGCCATTCTTTTCTGTCACTTAAAGTTCTGTGTTCTAGAAAGTGAAGTCTTTTTTCTATACTTATAGTTTCCTTTTCCTGAAGGACATATTATTAACTCTTTAAGTTTTGAAGGAGAAAGAGTTGAGAGGAAAGAAAGGTTCATTAAGAGTATTCAGATTCAGGACCTTCCCAGGTTTTTCCACAGTTTTCTTATTTTCTTCCATCAACACTTAGAGACTCACTTCAGAAGCTGTGGATTTTCTCAAAGTGATTGTAAATCAATGGCTTAGAGTACCTTAACTAAGTAAGGTGTAACACCTGCCTTTTAGGCAGGTTCCAAGTGTGAGTACTGTTTCCCTCCAAGGGCCCAGCTGAGGAGGCCTGCACGGGTGCCCTGGGCTGCGCGAGGGCCCCGCACCTTGCCAAGTGTCGTGCACGTCTGCTTCACTCTGAAGGTGGAGGTGCCCGCCGGAAGGGTCGTTAGGACAGTCAACTGAGATACTTCGGGATAAGGGAGGGACGTATATCAGATCACTTCCTACTGTGCACCAAACGCCTAAGCATCCAGTCCTGCAAATGAACCAGAGACCTTGGGCCAACTCACCGCTGACAGGGCACCAGGATGGGAGCGGCCGAGGGCTGGGGTGCGGTGTCTCAGGAGATTATTTAATAGACGCAGTAACGTGAAAGAAAGTGCATCAAGAAGTGCTTGTTGATGGACTGACTTGGGTTTTCTTTACAGCCCATCCAGATTATCAACAGCACCATCGAAATGGTGAAACCAGGTAAATTTCCCAGCGGCAGAACAGAAATTCCTTTCGAATTTCCTCTGCACGTGAAGGGTAACAGAGTCCTGTATGAGACTTACCACGGCGTGTTTGTCAACATCCAGGTGAGCGTTTCCTTATCCCGTAAAGCTGACTTCACAACTTTTCTTCTGCAAAACAGCTTGGTCTTTCTTTCACTGAAAGTTCATAGGTGGACCCAAGAATTTAATACTCTGTTTATTGCTGAGCCCTCCCATGTATATTCTGTGTTGATTTCTCATTTTGCCCTGCAGAACATATTTCATGTATGACCATTATCTTTGATGGGGATCTAGGAGGACCCGAGCTGTAGCCTCTTTCCAAAATTCCGTTGTTTCTTTGGGGCTCTGTTCAGGCCACGCTGACCCTGTAAGGGGTGCTTTTATTGTTGGTAGTAGACGTGCCCTCACTTCTCTCTGGCACCCGCACTAACTTTTCTATTTTATATGTATAAATATCTCTTTGTTTCATACCCAAAGGCTCCCGCTCTGACATAGGCTTGTATTCTTTATTGAACAAACCTTGTAAATGAGGGGGAAGTGGATTTATGACTTCCCGTCTACCTCCGCTGGTTCAGGGTTCTTTCACAGTCCCTATTGTTGTCTCAGGGGCAGTTTGGAGTCATGACTCAGAGCGAGAGAAAGAGAGCCTTTCCTTGATTCAGCGGAAAGAAAGGTACTTTTGTGTTATCAGCCTTGCAGCGGTTCCCCTGCTGGATGAGACAAAAGTATTTTGTCTTACGTATGTGCAAGAGGACTGGCAGTTAGGAAATTTTTTGATTTATTAATTTTTAGCTGATAATTTGGTCTTGGTAGAGACCATTCCCCTGCTTAAAATGTAGCACTTTTAAAATAGAAATCCTGCAAACACTTGTGAGAGTTTAACCAAAGGTTTGTCTGTATGTGAGTTTTATGTATGGCCTAAGAGATCGGTCAAGAAGAAACTCATGTAGTATGATGTACTCTATCGCAATAAATACCTTTCTGTAAAGAAAAACTTTTCTAGTCCTTTGTTACCGGTGCACCTGTTTCAGGCAATAAATATACTGAAGGCTTTGGGCAGCTCATAAGAAGTGACAGTAAAGTGTCTAGCTTCAAAGGAGACCCCTTGCATAGACATACAGGTCGCTGCTGTAGAGACCCGCATCCTCTGACCAGCTTTCTAGGCTGGGAATACTTTCACCATGAAAGAAAGTATTGCCTTTTTACTTTTTAGCGAGACTGAAAATATCTCAAACGTTGCATTTTCAAAATTATTTGTATTCTCTTGCCGGAATCAGCATCAACCTGCTTTACCCGCACAGTCGTTCTTTGATGCTGCTCACTTAGCAACAGAAGCATATATTCGTTAGAAACTGAATAGAATAACGTCAGAGTCTCTGTGGTCATACTTCTTACTTGTCACTTTCTTTTCCTGTGTTGATCATTCTTGTTAAAAGATTAATTTGTTTAAAATAAAATTGGAAATCTCACCCTTTTCCAAATATTGACAAGAAACCAGACAGATATACATACAAAACTTGGGTTCCTGTGTAGCTGTGTGTAAGTTGGAAACTAGCTAAAATGCAGAAGAAGAGTTCACATGTGGTTAAGTCTTTAGTAAGGTAAACAATCACCCCGACCCCCTTTATTTCGGTCATCAGATTTTACCACTTTGAGGGTTAACCTCAGAAGGCTACAACTTGGAATCCTGCACCTCCCCAGATATCTCATAAATTTCTGAAAATGTAGAGATGTCTTCTCAACCTCAAATTTATAAGAGCTTGTCACCTTACACTTACCACTAGATTCAACATTTATTAGAATTTTGCCACCTTTGTTTCATCTGTATTTATTTTTTTTTCTGAATCATTTCAAAGTTAGTTACAGAATCTTGACAGTTCGTTTCAAAATACTTCAATATCTATCACCAAAAAATAGGGACATTCTTCTACATAATCCCAGTTAATTATTTTCACAGCTATCAAAATGAATAAAAATTCCCCAATATCATCAAATTGCCAGCTCTTATTCAAATTTGTCATTGCTTCTTTTGAGAAATATACTTCTTGAGAGAAACTAGGATTATAGCTTCTTGATCTCTTTTTCATTCATCAGTTCACTCAGTCTCTAGATGGGGCTTTTTCTACCCTCCCTGTTGGACAGTGGAGCAGGTGCCCTGCAGAGAGGCGCCACACGGGGCGTCACCTTCTCAGTGCCATCGCTGATCGAGCTTCCCGTGAAGAGTCCCGGGTGTGTGACTTGGGATAGAAAGTGTTGTTGTTGAGCCCTAATAACATCTTTCTCAGATTATACGGGTGTAAAGACATTTTGCATTTATCCTCTGAACTGTGTTATAGTAACATAATGTAAAAACAGGAAAAATCATAAGGCAGAATAAAGGATTTAAAATGTAGCCGGTATTAAATTGTCAGCTTGCAGGGGCTGGACTCGTGGTAACTTCTTAGAGGGCTTGATCCTGTTTGCTCTGATTCTTCTTCTCAGCCATCCTGCATCCATTTCTCATCCTTGTTAGTAGATAGAGCGTACAGGAAGCCGGCAGACTTTCTAGTCGTCCCCTGTGCAGCCACTTTTTCCTTTAAAAGTTGTTTAAATCACAGGGAAGTTTTATTATGGTTGTTTTACTCTTGTGGCCATACTAGCAAGGTTTTATACCGTAAAACACAAAATACAGCAGTACCAACATGTCTGCTGAAATTGTGTGTTCAGAATCAAATGGTAGAGATGGTAGTCCTCCTGTTGACAGACTCCTTTCTAGGAGTCTGCTTTAAATCTGTTGACACGCGTTTTCTTTCCTCGTTCCTGTCCTGTGTTTACTGACAGTCGAAGAAAATCAAATCTTGAGAGTTCCTGGGCGGTCCAGTGGTTAAGACTCCGCGCTTCCACTGCAGGGGGCACGGGTTCCATCCCCGGTCAGGGGACTAAGGTCCTGCATGCTGCGCGTCCATAAAAAATAAAAATAAAAAGATCGTATCTTGCACCTCCTCTTGGAGCCCTGCTCAAGTCTGACCCTCGTGACCCCCTCTGACCTCCTGTAGCTCACACCGTGTAGATCACTCCTTAATAACGGGGAAGGATCATGATAGAGCGAAAAGATCCAGGGCTTTGCAGCAGACGGATCTGGGCTGGAGTTACGGTATTGCGTAAAGATTCAGAGCATGGGTTTCAGCAGCAGGCAGGCAGGTATAAATTCAGATCCCTCCTCTGTGACCCCAAGCAGCCTTCATGACCCCTCTTCCTGGGGGGTTGATGCGGCCTTGGTGTGAAGTACTTAGCGTAGTGCCTGGCTCATAGAACATGCCAAGTAAATATTTTCTGAATGATTAAATAAATGAATTAGTGGTGACTATCCTTATATTTTGTCAACAGTTCTTACATTTGTGTTATCAGAATTAATTGAGAAAGTACATGTGAAAGAACTTAACGTGGGACTTCCCTGGCGGTCCAGTGGTCAGGACTCCATGCCTCCACTGCAGGGGCCACGGGTTCCATCCCTGGTCCGGGAACTAAGATCCCACAAGCTGTACTGTGTGGCCAAAAAAAAAGAAAAAAAATTTAAGAACTTAACACAATTCCTAAAACATAATCTCAGTGTTTTTCCTCTTTTCTCCATCTTTCTCTCCTTCCCCCCACTTACCACCAGCTGCCTTATATTAGTAATTATTGCTTTCACACTTAAAAACCTTCAGTGACCAAAAGTTGGTGCCCGTTACACTCTCTCATCTGCAAGTTATAGAAATCCAGCTCAAACTGGCTTAGCCAAAAATGGGATATTGGATCATGGAACTCTCAATTCCAGGGGACTGTCTAGGCCAGGGCGGGCACCGGTCAGCCCCCAGCTCGGTGTTCTCGGGGGTGAAGCTGGTTGTTGGCCGGCGGCCACAGGCTTACAATCTCCTGGCCTGGCAGCCCCAGCAGAAAGGACTGTTTCCCGTGGCCAAGCAACAGTCCTGCCTTTCTGGTCACTTCCACACCCCCGTGGGATGGGGGGAAATCAGCCCCGCCCAAAGCCCTGAGACTGAAAATGAGGAAGGGACGTTCCCATCAGGAAAACCATCAAGGAGACCAGGCAAAGCCCGAATAAAATGCTGCCTCTTCTAGGCAGCGTGTGGGCTGTACAGGAGAGAGACGATGGACGTGCATACGTGCATGTATATATTGTATATTATACATACAAACATAGCATATACATATATGGTACAGCCCTCGCTGCGCTTGTCTGGTTGGGGAGACCAGATTGAAATCTCGATAGAGAATATCTATATCTATATCTCTGTATATGTATATGAAGGCCCTTGCAGACAAAGGTTGATTCTTTTTTTCTTTAATGTTTTAATCTCCCAGGAGTACCTTAAATACATAGCAGCTTCTTGTTTAACGTGGACAGATTGGTCATAATAGTTGTAGCTTCTTGACTCAACTGTGCATATAGTTCCAGTTCTACAAATTATTTTAATGTTTTTCTCGGATGATTAAAACAACAACTCACTTTATCCAACATACGTTCTGTGATTTTTTGTTTAAGATTAACATTAAGACAGTGATCGTGCTGTAGAGTTTTGTTACCACACAGTCTGTCGTGGACAGGGATGTGAAGGGACAGTCCCGGGTGAAGCCAAGCTTTCGGCTCAGGGCCCATTGCAGCAGGTGCACCGGCAGTGGCTAGTTCAGAAGGACAGCACAGGGACAGCAGAGGAGTTGAATACGGCCAAGTTCAAAGCAAGCGTGATGCTCCATCCCTTTTCTGTCCACGTTCTTTTGCTCGCAGGATACGTCTTTGCTGGCCAATGGGGAGGGCCGAGGAGAAGAACAGGACTGGCCGTTGGGGAAGCTGGCTGACGGATCTGGGGCTTCCTTATACGCTTCTCTTTACGTTTGCATACATTTGAATTTTCTAAAATGACAATTTTGCAAAGACTTTCCCCTCTTTTTTCCTCCCAAGGTTAAGATATGAAGAGCTCATTTTGAGATGCCCTGGAGGCCTGGGCTCCAGGACTCAGCACTGTCACTAGCATCGCTTCCCTTCCCCACGTGGGGCGCAGCTCTGCCCTTGCGCCGGCACCCAGCGCGGTGCCGCCCATGCAGAGAACGCAGCGAGTGAGAGCGAGTCGGGGGCTGACCCACATCTCCCAGGTTGGCCTGTGAAGTCTAGATGCCGTCCAGGGGTTTGCAGTCCTGCTGCTGTGTTTTCTCGTCCTTACTACAAAACAGCAGCCGTTTTACCCAGAGCTGCTGTGTGCCAGGCCTTGGCTTACCACACGTTACCTCGCTGGGTCCTCGCTAAGGTGGTGTTAGCGAGCAGGAAGCTGAAGCTCAGGGAAGCTGTGCTCCTTGTCTGGGCTCGTCCGGTAAGGCAGAGGACCGGGTGTGAGCGAGCTGCTGCTCCAGGCCTGCCCTTCCTGCTCTGCCTCTCTGGTCTGTCCTGCGTTACAGGGGAGGCTCTGCACCTGTATTCCAGGGGGTCCAGCTACAGAATGGCCGTGGGAATGGTCTGAGGAATAACCTTAAAGTGTTTTTTTAATAGCACTGTTTTTGTTCTGAGCATTAACTCCCCCCATTATGTACATTAATTTCATATAACACATTAATTGGACAAAGTTTCCCTAAAATATGTTGACTGACTTGCCTCTTTGTAAGAAATTCCTGGATGAAAGCAAACCATCTGAAAGGATGTATTCTCCTCTGCCTTTCCCTCCAGTATACCCTGCGCTGTGACATGAGGCGGTCCCTGCTGGCCAAGGACTTGACCAAGACCTGTGAATTCATCGTCCACTCTGCTGTAAGCTGCACTCGGGGGCTCTGGGCTCAGTAATAGGAATCCTCTGTGGGGTCTGGGACTGGACCCCGCTTACAAGCAATAAGTTAGCCTGGTAGTGTTTTGTGGATGCTGGGGAGAGACTCGGGACTCCTGGGTTAGAGACAGGGGACTGGATTTCTCCCGGCATGGCTGGTGTCAGCATGTGTGTCATTCCTCTGGGCCAGAGCCCTGTGGGGTGACGCCACGGGCCCAAAGGGGCACTGCACCTGAGGGGTTTGTGCCTCAGCTGCAGAGCCCCAAGCTGGGGAATCCGCCTTTGTTACAGCAGGCAGTGAGCAAGCCTGCTCTTTGTCCTGGAGGGAGACCTCACCTCGTCCCTCAAGGCAGCTTCAGCGAACAGCTGGGGGAAATGGCCCAGCCCAGGGAGAGGAGGCCAGGGCCTTGCATTCTCGGCCTGTACAGCAAGAACATGCAGGGCTGCTCGGGCCGGGGTGGGGAGCCTCTCCTGACACCTTCTGCTAGTACTTTGCAGTGACAGAGTGTCCTTAAAAATTCCTCTCACGTGCCAGGGCTGCAGGTGACACATAGTGGCGAGTAGTCGTGCCCACGGCCCTGGATCCCTTTGTGTCTCAGCCTCTCCAGGTCCTTTGGGGCGGGGCCTTTTACACTATTATGAAATGTCCATGGGTGTCTTGTAGTGATGATTAAGTGGAAATGTAAGACAGATTTCTTGTGCATAAGATTGGCAAAATCACTGTGACTTTTTAGGATTTTGTGACTTTTTAGGATTTCCAATATTTGTAGTTTCCCTGTTTATAAATTTTTAATAATCATAGTGTTAAGTATTTCTTTCAGTGATACAATATTTTATGTAAAATATGATGAAAATATTTATCCTTTTTGGAAGTTAACTTGATTTAGATGGATATTTTCCCTTTTTCCATCAAGGGTTTTCAAAGTGAAGCAAAAAAACTTTTTCGCATGTAGATTATCCCCTAAAAAAGTCACCTGCCATTTTAGGCGCTAAATCAAAAGCGCCTCCGACTTTGTGAAGAAGAATGAGCCCGAACCCAGCCCCCCGCCCAGAGCTGGGCCCGCAGACCCTGGCCCCCGGCCCACGGGTGGCCGCAGAGCTCGGGCTTCCTCCCTGCTCCTGGGGGTCCGCCCGCACTCGGCCTTCAAGGGTCTTCGGGACTGATTTCACTAGAAGCCAAACCGTGCTGTGACCTGTAGTCCATGAAGTTACATACTCCTCTGTGTACTGTGAGGAGGAATACATTATTCCCTAAAGAACACGTTCATGAACCTATTAGTAAAAAGAATATATTCAGGAAGAATGTTTCCTAGAATAAGCTTTTGGTGACTGAGTGAACTTGGCAAATTGGTCGGTGCCCTTTGTCCTCCACGGCTCCCCGGCCATCTGGGCGCCAGTGGCCTTTGGGCCCCAGCCCGTGAGTAAGCGACACTGGGCAGGCCCCGTGAAGCTTGGCTGTACTGATGGGTTCCGCACGTATGTAATGTGGAGATGATCCTTGTTAACTAATTACGGCAACGTATAGTTAATTATGTTAACATATAACTACGTTATAGGTGTGATTCTTCCTGGTAGACAGTTGTACAGCTGAGTGGCTAACTGCCCCGGCCTTGGAGCCAGGCTGCCTGGGTTTGGACCTCAGCTCTGCCCCATGCTTGAGCCACCATGTGAGCCCTCTGTGCCTCACTGTCATCTGTGAAGTGGGACCAGGGCCGGTAACAGCTCTGCACAGGGTCATGGTGCCGATTCAGTGGCTTTTATTCTCAGAAAGAGGTTCAGAATAAATGTCTCCCAACAATACTGCTCTGTTTTTAAATTCTGGACCTGAAAGGGACCTTAGAGACTAAGAAGCCTGTCCCCTCATCTTACAGATGAGGAAACTGAGTCACGGGGATGAGGACCTTGGACAGCACACAGGCTTCCTTGTTTCTTGGCCGAACTGTGTTTAGAATCTAAGCGTCCTGCCTCTTAGTGCCAAGGTCTTCCTGGTTCACGATGCTACCTTGTGTTTCCTTAAATGGGGAAAGGCAAGTCTGACCTGTGGACTCTCTGCTGAGTTTGGTTTCTCCTCCTCTGTAGCCTCAGAAGCGGAAACTGACTCCGAGTCCCGTGGCCTTCACTGTCACGCCTGAAACCTTACAGAATGTCAAAGAGGTAACGTGTTCCTTACACACCAGTGCCAGGGAGGCTTTCTTAGTAACCGGATCCCACTGACAGACTGTTGCCCACCTGTTCTTTACTTGGGTATCAAGTCATCAGCAAGAGGAAATTTTTGCCTCTACCCGAAATAGTCTGTATTTTCAATTTTACTTTCTTTTTAAATTCGGTAACTACTTAGCAGAAGGATGGTTTTTAAAAGACAGGGTATATGTTTATAATTTTTTACTGTCTTCTCCCAGTTTTATTGCACTGTGGCCAGAGACCCCCTTCCCTGAGCCCCGGGGCTGCCACTGCCTGTCAGGGGGGCCGCATACCCTGGTTTTTCAGCTGGGCCCTTGGTCACTTGTCTTTTGTGGACGTGGCTTTTCCTCCCTACCCTAACCCTGCATTCTGCTCCCTGGACCCTCCTGACTGGGGTCGGGTCAAAGGCCAATTTGGGAGGATTGTTGGCTTCATCTTGCGAGAGGCACAGCTGAGGTGGGGTGTGTCATGGGGAGCCTTTCAGAAATCCATTGAACATCTCTCCCTTCTCTGGTTTCTGGAGCAGTGACCCCAGGAGGCCAGTCAGATTTTCCTCTCAGGAATTTGAACCTTGATTGGAAACATGCAGTTGCCTAAGAGAATTTTAATGGGAACTGCTACTGCTTTTCCTTTTTCTAAACAAATAGCCTCTTTCAGTTTTTTTTAGAATTCTGTCTTGAATCAAGACTTTTTTTAGAGTTCTTTGCCTTTGGGGGCTACCAGGTACAGAGCGCCCTTGCTCTTGACCTCCAGTACAGGGCACCACCCACGCATGACCCACTGGCCCTTGAGGTGGGGCTGGTCAGATCGAGGTGAGATTCAGGGTGAGATACTGACTGGGTTTCAAAGACTCGGTATGAAAAAGAGAATGTGAAACATCATTCATAACTGTAAAATACTGATGATGTGTGGAACTGATAATATTTTGGATATATTGATTAATTTTACCTGTTTCCTTCTACTTTTTTAATGTGGCTACTAGAAAATTTTAAATTACACAGTTGCTTCACATTTGTGGTTTCCATTATGTTTCTGTTGGACAGTGGTGTTCTAAGCTCTGAATTACCTGCAGTAACTGGGACACAGCCATAGGAAAGACTGCTAGGACAGATGTCTCTAACTCTTTAGTTCTGTTTTTCCCGTGGCATCGTCACTCACCCATGACCATTTTCCTCTGTCTGAAGAGAAAAGGTCCATAGGTTTTTTAGTCAAGCATTGAAGAAAATTGTTCTCTTTAAATTTCCTTGAAATAAAGTTAATGTCTTGGTTTTTCAAAATTGTATAATTGGGAACATTTAAAAATTGATTATCTTTTTAAAACCTCTTTTTTTCCTTTTGGTTGTCCTTAAACACTGTCAGCAACTTCTTTAGACATTTTTATGTCGTGTCCTTGGTGAGAAGGAGTGCTCCAGACCTGATCTAGGCAATCAGGATGCTTCTGTGAGAGAGCTGGGCATTCCGTGCCAGCAACATCAGGTGCCTTACGCCTGTAGATAGCTGTTGAATAATTCAGTCTGTTACTTAAGTTGACAGAAAATGTAAGTACTGTTGTACCTTGCTTCCCATTTTGTAAGCCAGGGTCCCAGTGGATTTTATAAAAATTATCTGACCCTGTTTTCAGTTTTTATTTGTACCAAAGTGACTTGAGTACCTTCTCCTGGCGCCTCCCACTCCTGATGTGTCTGTTTTTGTCTTGTTTTAGAGAGCCCTGCTCCCCAAATTTCTCATCAGAGGACATCTCAACTCGACCAACTGTGTTATCACACAGCCACTAACGGGAGAGCTGGTGGTGGAGAGCTCGGAGGCCGCCATCAAAAGCATCGAGCTGCAGCTGGTGCGCGTGGAGACCTGCGGTAAGGTCCCCACTCCGTCCCCGTCTCCCGTTCTTCCCCTCCATCCTCCCTGCCCCCGCTGCCGCCAGCCCTTAGCCACGAGCTCGCCTCTCGATTCCAAGAAACGTATGTTTGAGGAGCGTGGGGTGTGGAGGGAGGGAGGACTCCAGAATCCTGCAGAGACGGGGGGAGAGCAGGTGAGTGGGCTGATGCAGGCTCTCCTAGACCCACGCAGGGCCTGTGGCTCAGCCTGTTTGGACGTTTGCTGTGTTCTGACCGCGTGATGCTTTCTCCCTGCTCCAGGCTGTGCAGAAGGGTACGCCCGCGATGCCACAGAGATTCAGAACATTCAGATCGCCGACGGCGACGTGTGTCGGGGCCTCTCTGTCCCCATATACATGGTCTTTCCCCGGCTCTTCACCTGCCCGACACTGGAGACCACCAACTTCAAAGTGGGTATGTGTGCTGCCCTTGGGGTGCCCCCGGGAGGGGTGCAGCCACCGGAGGGGACAGGCCTGCTGGTCTGCTGGGGTCAGATGCAGCCCAGAGCACCCAGTCCTTCAGTCACTCAACAAAAACGCAGGCAGAGCAGCTGTGTGGCGCTGAGGGTCCCCGGTGAGCAGTCCCGGCTCCGAGGAACTTGTGTCTCCCCCCCCAAGGGAGACAGCGTGGGCTGGGTAGGTGACCACGAGCTCTGTGAAGGACACTAACTCAGCCAGGGACCAGCCAGCCGGGCGCATGAGGAGGTCAGGTCGGCTCCCTGATGGGCTGGCATTTGACGGAGACGCGAGACCTGAGACAGCCCAGTGTGAACGGTAATCTTCCCAAGGGCTTTAGCTCCAGCAGCCGAGGGTGTGTCGGTCTTCTCCATGAATGCGTCCATGAATGCGTGGGTAGATATTTTGACCACAAGATCTGAATCACATGACAGATGCAGTTTTCTATCCTGCTTTTCCTCCCTTCACTTTGTATTATGAACCTTTCCATGGTTTTAAGTGTTTCTATAAAGTATTTTGATGGTGCATTCATCCTAATAAAATGTTCATGCTTACGAAGTTCAGTGGAGAGCTTACTCCCCACCACAGAGACACAGCAGGATGGACCCTCGGGCCTCTGCCCTGGCTGACACGACCTTCTGCAGACTGACCAAAAGACCACAGAAGTGTCCCCGGGCTCTGTGTCATGTGCAGGCTCACTGGTGAATAGATAGAATTAGGAGCTTTTGGTAAATGGTTGTTTTTATACCCATTTCATTGAGAAATGGGAGCACAGTCCCTAAGGCCAGTGTGTTTTCTTAATGTCCTATTCCCCCTAAATCTTCTAACATACATTATTACTAGTCCAGAGACAATCTCTTTTTTTTTTAATTAGACTGTGATTTTACTTTAAATAATTACAAATAATGTAATTTAAAATTGAAGAAAATAGAGAGAACTCCCTGCCGGTCCAGTGGTTAGGACTTGGCGCTTTCACTGCCGTGGCCCAGGTTCAGTGTCTGGTCTGGGAACTAAGATTCCGCGAACTGCATGGTACAGCCAAAAAAAAAAAATTTGAAGTAAGTAGAATTTCATCACCGAAGCTGAGTGTATGCCCTTTGTTTTAAGAGAGGGAAAGGTGGTCACACCTGGCATCACGGGGTGCTTCTCGGACCTTGCTGTGCCCTTGTGTGAGCATGAACCCCGGAGCCCCGCCAGCCTGGCAGGCCAGAAGCACAGTCTAATACAGTGGAGCCCTCGAGTGCTTTATCTGAAACGTTATATTGTAGCAAGAACATAATGGGGTCAGGACACCCTTGTCAATAGAAATGAGGGCGACAGACCCAGCTGTTCACCGAATACAGAGCACGGTCAGCTGAAAGATGACATAGGGTCAGACTTGACCCGAGCTGACAAGGTACCATGTTTTTTCTCAGAAACTGTGTATGGTTACTGAGTAGGTGGTACATGCCCACTGTACACAGTCCAGAGGCCCCAGGGCCTCGAGTGCAGAGTCAGTGCCTGCAGCCCCCAGGAGCCTCCCGGCCACAGCCTCGTGCCAGCCCCGCACGTCCCCCCGGGGTGCTCCCTGCCACGCTGCACGCCGTGTTCTGAAACGGGTGTTTATTCGGGAGCATACACTGCAGTGCTGCGTGAGCCACGGTTGGGTGAACCTGCAGATGCAGAACAGCTGTGGAGGAACTGCTGCATAAGGGGCAGCCTGTAACCTCTATGCAGACCGCCAACCGTGTGCAGGGGCGGCGTTGTTCAAAGGTCGACTGTACTTTGATTTGAAGTTGAGGAGGAGCTTGTCTGTTGATTTCTCAACTTGTTTTTCCTACGTAAACTTCAAAAAAGGTCCAAAAATTAGTTTTTTCTGCTGTACTATGCATTAGGCACCTCTGTTTCCTGTGTGTTATATTTGTCAGACTTCCTAAGTGTCCATATAAGATTTAATGAGGTGCCTGTGATTCTTCCATAGAAATAGCGCCCTCAGTCCCTCAGCCAAGACATCACTGATGCTTTTGTCCTCGTGGCTCCTGTTTCGTCTATTTGGGGGCTTGCGCAGTGGCCGCCCCGTCAGCTGGGGGGGTCCCCCAGGGAGGAGGTGGCCCACGGTCATTGAGCGCCGCAGCCTCTCATAGCCCCTGGGTTGCTGTTGCGTGGCTGGCGAGGTCGGGCTCTGGGTCTCAGGTGCGGGCGGGGTGAGCCCCGCGTCCTGCGTTAGGCGCACATCTGGGTGTACCCCTTCACCTTGACCGCAGGGGGCTTCGTGTGCACGGCCAGGCCTGCGGCGTCCTCCAGCCCAGCTCACGGTGCCCCCCGCCAGGGAGGACCGCGAGGTGGTTAGAGGACCTGGGGAGGGATGGTGCCGGGCAGGGCCAGGGGCTGTTCCGGTGCCTGACCATCATCAAGGAACAGAAAGGAAAGGAACAGGGTGCGTGCTGCTGGTGCACAACTCCTGTCCCGGCTGATGCTTGGCGAAGGTGACAGCCACACATGGGGACGTTGTCCTTGGGCCACAGGCGGGGTCCTGGACGAGCTGACCCCCAGCCCCTTCCCCAGCTGAGCCCTGCGCTGCAGTGCTGCCCGCCTCGCTCTTCATGCTGGGGAGGGACCCGGACTGGACTCTCTTCGGGGACTCCCTTGTCACGCACGCCCCTCTTTCTGTCAGTAAGCTTACCCTTAGCGGCTGGAGAGCTGGGGAGAAGACTCCTGTTTGCTGAAAGGTAAAAGAGGGATGTTTGAACAGGTGTTGTAGGGAAACCAACCAGTATCCAAAGGAGCTACAGTTAGACTGCTTGCTGTTTCTGAACGTTGTTTCTTGCCTGGGCTGGGAGACGTGTCCCCAGACAGCGGTAGGCCGGTTTGGAGTCCACTCTCCCATTAAGAACTGTAGGAAATGTAAAAATAAAGCCAAAGAGTACACGTGAATTGACAGGATTCTAGAAGATTCTCTGCAGTAAAGACGAAGGACCAGGAGAGTGTTTGGGGAAGCTGAGGCCTTACAGCATGTTCCAAGGTGAGAAGACCAGCTTACTTAGGCAGTCCCGCCAGCGTAGCATCTACACTGATTCTCCTGGACGCTTGGGATGACGTACGTGCAAACCCACGCAATGCCCGGTGCTCCCTCTGTCGAGAGTTCGCTGCGCCCGTGGCGGGGTTGGTGTTTGGTTCCCGCTGCTCCGGGCCGGTGGGCATAAAGCCTGTCCTTTCTCTTACCAGAGTTCGAGGTGAACATCGTTGTGCTGCTTCACCCTGAGCACCTCATCACAGAGAACTTCCCGCTGAAGCTCTGCAGGATGTAGGCGGGAACAGGGGGAGATGCAGCCGTGCCGACCTACGGGAGCCGAAGCCGGCGGCAGCGAACTCGCTCTCTTGATGGTTCTGTATCAGAAATGAGTCTGACCCTTCTTCCTCATTCCCTCGAGGCCCCTCTAGTCAGAGCTTCCCTTTGAAATTCATCAGGATTTCTTCATGGCGCTGGCAAGATCGTTTCCCAGAGAGTAAATTTCCTGGGACTCCTGACCAACCTGCTCCTTCTTAGGTTCAGAGCACAGTTGTAACGGAGTCTGAGCTTTGCTGGAAAGTGAGGTCAGGGACAAAGGAAACCTCCCGTCTGGCCGACGGTTGTGGCCAGGGCTCCCGACGGCTCCCCGACCCCGCAGGGTGGCGACAGGCGTGCTGGTTGCTCATGACGTTGGCAGACGCCCGCCAAGGAGGGTGCTGCGGCGCCGCTGCAGATGCGCAGCGTGTTTCCCACTCTCTTGTCTTTTATAACATTTGTCGTGATAACTTCAGAACTTCTGGGGACCTGGGGAAAGTATGCTTCGCCCTCCCGGGAGTGAGGGGATCTGGTGACCACGGCTGGTGCTGGAGTAGTTCTGAGTCTCAGGACCTGGTGTGAAGTTGCCTACTGCCGTCTTCCCAGAGTCCGTTTAAGTGCTAGGTTCTGTCGGGGATAAAAACACGTGTCCACGCCCGTCGTTGTTGGCTGGGTTCTGAGTGGCAGGGGACCCGGGCCCAGGCCAGCAGTGAAGAGCCCTCTGTGCTGGGCGGGACCTGGACCTGATGAACTTGGCCCACCTCCATCCCACCTGAGGGACTTGCGTTGGCGGGGTCGGGGGAGGTAGTCTGGCCTGAAGCCATTTTCTCCCTCGCCTCCTGTTGGGATTTGCAGTGTACGGTGGGTCCGTTACAACACATTTCTTCCTTCACATCCTGCTGTTTCTCTGGGTCCACAGTTAACCTCAGAAGTAAGCCGCGCGCTGTGCACACTGCCTGGCCTTCCTCTCCTGAGGGAATAATCATCACCTGAAGAGCTGCCAGCAGCCCGGCCGCCTTTATCATTTTATTCAACCTCGAGGGGCCCGAGCGAGGGCCATTTCCTTGCGCTTCTTGGACGGGCACCTCCACCATCAGTTAGTAAGGAAAACTCGGACGTTTGGGTGTCTTGGGCAGCAGCAGTCCCACTACTGCCCTGGCTGGAGCCGGGGGTGTCCGTTGTCAGGTTCTCCTATTACAGCAGGAGGAAGGGGAGGTGAAGGAAAGAGGCCATGAACCTAAAACAGTACATTTTTTGGGGAAATGCCCGGTTAGGCAGGAGCACCTTCTGGCTCTTGGAGCTCCAGCAGAAATGGGGCCTTGCTCTGGTTCTCAGCTGCACCGTGAGTTCCGCAGGAAAGGTGGAGACGTCAATCTGAAATAAAACGTTTAAAAAAGAAGCCAAAATACTGTGCCTGTCTTCACCCAGAGCTCATGTCCGGAGCCTACCTGCTCCGGTAGCTGGGGGGAGGTGGGTCCCTGGTGTCATTTCTGCCTTCTTGAGGCTCATAATTCCGGAGCCTGAGTCTGAATAACCTTTAAGACCTTTGGGGTAAGATTACCCCCCACATACTGGCGGCACTTTGGGCTATGGCAGATCACCAGTGTTCTCCACAGCCCCTCTCTGATTCCCTTCTGAGTTCAGAAATAGGGTTGCATTTCCGTGGAGCCGTGCCCACCTGACTGGGGACCGACTTCCAACTCCTTTGCAGCAGGGTGTGGTTGTGATAGGGAGGATGTGGGCCCCTTCCCGTGGCTGGACGGGAACAGGCCTACTCCCCACCTAGACCATGCTGAGCACAAGGAATGTGTGAGCCGAACAGCTAGCCTCTCACCTGTGTCGCGGTCACCGGAGAGGGAAAGGAATGGGTCATCTTCAGAGCACGGGATTGCCGGGTGTCTGGGCTGCAGCAGCCCTGCCCTGTCCTGCCCTGGAGCTTGTGACATAGGGTCCAATCCCACCCATGCCTCTCATACAGCCCGAGGTCCACATGCACGTAGTATGAAGAAATACTCCTTTATCTTCATGCCCACCCTCTGCATCAAGATTCTTAAGGGTCCAGAACCTTGCCCGAGCCCAGCTGGTCAAACACCAGGGCGGGTGTAGACCAGCAGTCCCCGGAGCTGTTGCTGACCTCATCCAGCCACCCCAGGACACAGCTGACCCAGCCCTACCCAGTAAAACCTCCCTGACCAGAGTGGAAGGAAAACAGGCTGGTTTTCACTGTCACTAACTGTTCTAGAGATCTAAAAGATTTGGTTAGGTTTTCCTGGGAGAAGTGTCAATACCAAGATAAATTCTGTGATGACAGCTGTGACGCAGCCCTTTCATCCTGTGTTCTGGGAGGAGAGCTGCTGCGGGCTGGTGAGTATGGTGCTACTCTTGTCTGGTGCTGGTTCCCACACATCCTTGAAACCTGCAGGAACTGCTTTCTCAAGGGAGGCCGCCCTCCCCGAGGGCTGGGCCGCTCCCACTCAGGGGCCTCCACGCAGATGGTTTCGGTTGCTGGAGTGTTGATAGATACCGACCATGTCTGTGCATCTAATGAGAGCAGGAGCTCTGTGAGCATTCATTGTTATTCTGGATCAGACCCTGTGCTGAGTGCCATGCATGTATTATCTTAATTGTGTAGCAACACTATGAGGAGGGAACGCTTATCCCCATTTAAAGTTGAGGGGATTGCGGCTGATGGAAAGACAAATACATCATTTGTGCCTGCTTCTTCAGGACTCATCAGATTTGGGGGAGCATCTGCTTGTTGAAGACCAAGGGTTGACATAACACTAGAATGTTTGGTTGCTTGTCATCTGGATCAGCTGTCCTTTCTCCAGGAGAGGCCTGTTTGATTCCCTTGACAAAGTCCAGTAGTGGCAGGAGGCTCTGTGAAGGTCCATGAAGAAGCAGCTCCAGAGAAAAGGATTTCTGAGAGATGGGGTTTGTTCAGCAAGGGCCCCACGACAGGGGATGTGATCACTGCCTCCCATCTCGATCAAGGATTAGAGTTTTAAGACCACAACCTCTGGGTCTTATGTGACAGAAGTGGGAGGAGCTTTTTCTGTCTTCAGATGAGCAGCCACCTGGGGGAGGCTGGGCCAGCAACCCAGACCTACTGCTGCTGGATACACCAAGAAAGGGGTGTGCTCAGACTTAGCTGTGGAAAAGTGGTAGAAAAGAGCAGAAAAATAAAAATCTTAAATACTCATTTTTGTTTTAAAATAGCTTCAACATCAGTATATATTAAGAAAACTCAAATTCAAAACCCAGTACAGTAAAAGAGCAGACAAGTTTAAGAATTGAGTATTTACTTCCTAAAATGTTAACCACCATGTTCCTTTATATTTTACAGAAAATACATACTTTTCAATCCATGGAAAAATTGCAAAAATCAATGAAAGAAAAAAACTCAGTAAAATGTTAACATGTAGAAATTGCCCAAGCCACATACTCTATCATAATGCAATAAAATTAGAAATTGATACTAAAAGGAAAATTAAATTCAGTATAACCACTTGTAAATTTTATTACATTCTTCAAAGAGGAAACTAAAACTTCATTTATGGACCCTTTTAGATTTAATGAAAATGAGTATACTGTTTAGCAAGAGCTTTGCACTATGGCCAGTGCTGCAGTCAGAGGAAAATTCATAGCCTTAAATGTTTTTATTATACCAGAGAGAATGAAGACTAATGAGTTAGGCATTCAAATTAAAACTCTAGATAAGCAAAATAAATAGGAAATAAACATGATAAAAGCAGGAACCAATTAATACTGATATGAAATTTAAAACACTGGAAATTTATAAATAAGTCCACAAATTTATACTTTGAAAAGCCTAATTCAACTGGCTGATCTTTAATAGAACAAAATGAAGTGAAGGGAGAAAAATATGTAACACTAGGAACAATTTCATATTAAAAGGAACCTGATAAGAATTATAATATTACAGTATGTGCATTTCCTGCTAATAAATTTGCAAATGTCGATAAAATGCAGAGTGACTCCAGAAAAGATGGGGTACCAGAATAAAATGATAGCCTATGGAAGAAATTGAAAAAACTGCCAAAGAAGTATCACTGAAAAGGTGCCAGGCCCCAGATGGTTTTACAGCAGGTTTCTATCAAAGCTTTAAAGATTAGATAGTTCCTCTGTTATTTAACCTTTTGCAGGATATAGAGAAGGATGAAAAGCCTTCTAATTTATTTTATGAAACCAGCATAGCCCTAATATAAAAATACGACATTATCAGTTAGGATTAGGTTTAGCTGTGAGTAAGGGAGACCCAAAGTGAAGAGTGGCTTAAACAGGACTCGTATAAATGTTCACAGGTAGGTAGTCCAGAGCTGGCGTAGCAGCTCAGAGCCAAGATGTTCTTAGAGATCCAGGCTACTTCCAGCTCACTGTGATGCCTTTTCTAGGGTGTGACCCTTGTCTTCATGTTCTAAGATAGTAGCAGCCAGCTCCAGCCATCACATCCGCATTCCAGGCATCAGAATGGGAGAAAGGACGAAGGTGGAAAAAGGTCAAAGGTCAAGTATCAACTCTATTGAGGATCATCTTGATGGATGCCATAAGGTATATATTATTTTAACCTTTTATTTTGGAAATTTCAAACGTATAGAAAAGCACAGAGTCATAGATTATGTCATACCCAAAAGATGTCTTTGTTAACATCTTTATTGAAATATAATTCATGGACCATAAAATTTACCCATGTAAAGTACTCAATTTGATAGTTTTAGTATACTCACAGAGATGGGGAACCATCACCAAAATCTAAGTTTAGATTATTTTCTTCACTAAAAAGAAAGCCTGAAGCCATTACCAGTCAGTCCCTTCCTCTTCAGCCCCAAGCAACCACTAATTTACTTTCTGTCTCCATAGGTTTGTGTATTCTGGGTATTTCATGTGAATGGAATCATATATTGTGTGGTCTTTTGTGACTGGCTTCTCTCACTTAGCATAATGTATTTAAGGTTCATTTGCATTGTAACGTTTGTCACTACCTCATAACTGCTTTATTTTGGGGGGGGAGGGGTAGCATATTTTAAGATTTATTCAGTCCCATAGTTACTTTCCAAAGCTGTCCAAGAAAACTAAAAAGAAGCAGTTGGGAAGGGAAATGATGAGATGTTTGAAGTGTGAGTCAGTCTAATCTCAGTATATCCATCCCAGCTTAGTTCTAACTCATTTGAAGATAACTGTAGTTTACCTGGATTAAAATGGCAATTCACACAGTAAGAATCAGTCAAGCTGTTTCCCAGTGAATGACACTGAGCTTCACCAAAAAACTACCCTCAAGGAGCAAAAAGGCTACAAAGTAAGGAATCATTAAACTGACATTCCTGAAATGGGGAATTCCTTTTTAGGGTGAGCCATCCATCACTCATTGCATTTCAGGCAGCTACTGACAAATCCTCAACAAACCTAGAAATGAATTACTTAGTTCCCACAACCAAGCAAAGGACAGGTGCACACTTTCTGCCTGTCTGTGCACCACCTAGAAATGCACTACCACGTGACAATGTGGGGTTTTACAGTTTTTTTCCACAGCAGGACAGTAAGTCTTTCCACAAAGTCTAGAGCAGGGCTTTGGTTTTGGTTCTTTCTGGTACCTTAACATTGATACCTGTTGGGACATTCTGAATAAGAGGTTAGTATCAGTGCTTTGCCATGTCACCATGAACCCGGGTTCAGCCATAGTCGTTCTGGTTCTGAACTGCATAGAGCTGTCAGTCCAGGGGTCTCTTAGAGTCCAGTCTCTTGCCCTCTTTGGCTCTCTGTCTCTCTGAGTCTCTCTCTCCCATCTACTTCTGCCTCTTCTGACATCTTGGCATGCTGGTTGTCAAGTGCAGCACCGCCTCTTAGTCTCCTCCTATCAGCCGCCTCGTGCTCCTTCTGTCTTGGCCTTTCCCTCCCCCTCCCTCATAAGTATTTTGGTTTTGTTTTTTTTTACATTTTTAGATGTATTTTTTAAATTAATTTATTCTAACAGTCATTAATTCCACAATCATTTATTAAATAGTTTTATATGTGGGGCATTGTACTAAGAACTAGGGCACTGGGATACTTATTTCTTGTGTAACCCTAAGCAAGATAACTGAATTCCATAAGCCACAGTTTTCTCATTTGTAAAATGGGACCAATGATACTTATTCATAAGAACATCATGAGAATTAAATGCAGTAATATATGTATATATGTATATTACTGCATTTTATTTATATAGTATTTGAATATATACATAGAAATACATAAAGTACTTGAATTAAAAAAACTGTAGAGTCTTAAGTTGTCACTCAATAGGTTATTAGTTTAAAAAAATTTTATTGAAGTATAGTTGATGTACCACATTATATAAGTTACAGGTGTATAATATAGTGATTCACAATTTTTAAAGGT